CACTAATAAATCATAGGTAATTGACCAGAAACAATTCGTAGCTCACAACCCAACAACAAACCAAAGGTTATCTTCATGGGTTGCTCATAGTTAACTAACCATGGTTTGTCAGAGAAGTTAGATTCAGACAACATCACGACCCATGGTTCAATGAAAAGCATATCCATAATCAGCTCTTGAGTGTGGGCTATTGTGTTGTCTGAACTCTATCAAAGACAGACAGACAGACAGGCAGGCAGGCAGGCAGGCAGGCAGGCAGGCAGACAGACAGACAGACAGACAGACAGACAGACAAATATTGCCTGCTAGCTCAAGTATTTGTAATGTGTCAAGACAAATTGAAACCATCAAAATGAAAAGGCAGTAACAAGGTCTCAACCAGGCCAAAAAATATATCTTAAGCAAGTATATAGCAAGTATAATTTTGCATAAAAGAACGAATGTTTTGCGGCCATATTTGCTGCTTACTACTCCTCAAGGACTTTTTCTGCAGTACTTTATCTTTATTTAAATTGTCCTTTTCAAGAGCTCTATAAAATTCATTGTATCGAAGAAGAATGATATGACTGAATGCTACCCCCACCCTGGTCTCTCACACACTTCTCTTTAAACTTTCTTTTAGAGCTTGGCAAATGCATGTATGCTTTGCACTGGTATCTTTTTCTATAACATACTCGTAATAAATGAGTCTGAGATTTAAAATGGTAAATTAAATTATTGTCCATTAAATTATTGCCCATACAATCTACACTTTTCAGTTCAGAGGTACTTTGAAACTGCTACAGAGAGGCATCTTCATGTGAATTTCTGTGCACCAGTTTGCCTAACCTACACACTTTTTGCAAATTAGCTTTCCTTAATATAATGCTGTTCTGTGCAATGCCTTTAATAAATTCCACATTGGTGTGAGCACTTCCCATTTTTGTACGATCTTTTCCCCACTGTATGTACTTTTGTATGCATTGTTGTTGTTGCTGTTCATCAAACTACATCTCAGAATTCTGAGATGCAAGTACTAAAGGAAAGTGTGTTTCAGTTCATATACCGATCAGGCAAGTACAAACTTGTTAAGCTGTAATGGGAACGCATGCTGAATAAAAATTTTCCCAAACCCTTCTGTTTACGGATGATGCTAGAGGCTGAGCCTCATGCAACAAATTAACTAAAACATTAATACCAGCAATATTCTACAAGCACTTACCCTCTATAACTAGATTTCAGATTTTCTGCTGGCTGTTACCTTAAACAGAAATTCTTTCTATGGTCAGCACAAAGGTTGTAAAAGAGAACCCCTTTACTGGCCCTGAACTTAACTTATTTTTTTCTAACAATGGAGATCAAGGTTCTTTTGATCAAGGCTGGATTATCAAGCAGCCTAACAAGGCACCCGCCTAGGACCCATTCATTTTAAAATAATTTTCATGCTGCCACTGAAGGTACTTTTCAAGTGATATACCCCCCCCACACACACACACGAATTGCTGCCTAACAAAATGTTATTAGAAAAGGCCACACAATCCTTGATTCAACACAATCTGAAGCTCTCATTATTATTTTTTACAGTTTTTAAAACTGAAGCATTTTCATAATGAAAGCTCAGTGCTGCTTCACATGGCAGGTATTACAGGTGCAAGATTTTAAAGCCCTCAGACAGGCATCTGCAAACTCATCCTTCTAGCTGGGTGTATCTTATGCATGCACTAGAACTGGTCCGGTAATGTGTAAAGTGACCCTTGATGCATATCTAAATTGTTTAAATGTCAATTTGAACATGGTAGCAAATGAAAGAAGATCTTTCTAAGAACTTTTTCCCACATGCATTTGTAAGAGTGCAGAAAGAACCATAGAAGCATCAATCTGGAGACGAACAGTGAAGATCACAAGAAAATAATTGTCTGTGGACTTGTCAAAGGTTTGTGAAGCCTGGAATACCTTACCAGTGCACAGATTCCAAGCAAAAATGTGTGAAAGTATAACACAGGCTCTGCCTGTGTAAAAGATAGTGAGAATAGTCATCTGTCAGCAAACTTATGCCTCTTCGCTCTCCACAGTATTTCACACATTTCATGTTGAATCTGAAAGCTAAAAGCCAAAAGGGTCAATCCACAACTGACCATATTGAAGATTATTTGCCGACCCTTGCTACTCGTGATGATTGGGCTATCCATCAAGTACATTTTTATGATAGCACAGTATTGTACATACACTGAATCAATCTATTGGTGTAATCCTAGGATTTGAAGCTAAAGCACCAAAGTGCTTTGGATAAAATGCACCAAAAACAACAGCTACGCAGTATCATAAAAACACAGTACCAGTAAGAGCTAAAATAGAATTATAGGTAGACACACTGCTCCAAACGTGTTGGAGAGAGGTGATGGGAATCACAAATCCTACAAAGCTGTATGTGAAAATGGAACATTAAAATCAGTATTTTGTTTCCCCATTATTTAATTTAGCTTTTTACAGTGCTTCGTATCTCAGGGATGTAGGGATTTCACGGTGTTAACTTTTCACCCAGGCCTCAAGGGATGTAGCCCTTGGTATTTTATTCCTGTGACAAAATTATATTAATCATAGATCATACTTTGCAAGATAACAAGGAGGAATGTATTCATATAATCAAGTGAGTAATTGTATAGACTGCCACATATAAATATTGAGTGAGTGCTGAAACTTAAAGGTGGACTTTCCTTATATCAATATTAAAGACTCACATTACGGACAGAATAAAATGTGCCTCAATACATCTGTGTTGTGATGGATCTTAAGCACAGAAATAAAGGATTCTTCTTCACAACTATGAATCATAGATGATGCTGCACTGAGCTTGCTGTGCCAGGTTTAGATATCATGACAACCCACCATGAGTATGAGCAATCCTAAAATAAGGTATGTATTTGCATGAAAAGTAAGCTACATCGAAGAAACTGAATCAGGTTTGGATGTCACAATAACCCACCATGGCTGATAACCCATGTTATACAAACCAGGTCATTGTATAATGTACAAAAGAAGAAACACCCTATTCTAATATTTAAAGTTTGGACTTTCTCTAGCTGGAGTGTATTTGGAATTAATCTATTCATACATGAAGGGCTCTGCCACAGAAAAGTACATGTACAGCTTTTAAGCGCTTCCTGAATAGGCTATGGTCGGCTTGTCAAGCTACTTTGAAGGTCTCTCTGTGTTATTGATTGCAGCATGAGAGGAAAAAAATACCATATACACAGCTTCTCTCATTGTTTTATCACAGGATTGGTGCTGCTGGGATGCTGACGACTCCTTGCTCACTGCAGTTAACAAATTCAATCTCAGGGCTAGAAACACGAGCCTCTTCCCTTTCTGTGCTACATCAGGGCTTAAGGTAACTATGCTGAGAAAGATACATTTTAATTAATAACTGGAACTGTGGCCTGAAGTGCGCTTTAGCTCCTGGATTAGGGAAACCTGGTTAACAGTGGATGCAACGGTGGATTTGTTGCTGATATACAGCTTAAGCATGGTGGGAACACGGAGGGAGTCTAGAGTGGGAAGGGACTGGAAGGAGGCAGCATGCTTTTCATAGGCTGCCTGCAACTGATTCAAGGCGGGAGCGCTACACCAGGACCAGTGATGCAGCCAAGGTTGAGACCATCCTAGACAAGGTGTCCTCCAGACCTACCCCACTCCATCCTTGGCATTCCGCCGCTCCACCTTCTCCCTGCCACCATCTTGGCTGCATGTTTCCTTATTAATGTACTAATTTATTAAATGTCTATCCTGCCCATTAGCCAAAATGACTCTCTGTGTGGGTTACAAAACCCTCCCCGGGCAGGTTTTCTTCCCACGGTTCCTACCAGGCTTCAGGAAGGCAACACACCACACTGACTGTGCCCTTCTTCTTCCTTAAAAGCAAAACCTTTTAGAGGAGTCATCTAGTGTCTTGTTTACAGACTGGCTTTTCTTTCAGACTTGTTCCTTTCACCCCACATGCTTACTCTCCCCACAAATCAGGTGCCAGTTTCACCAGTTAAGCTTTGTTTTCCCTTTGCTTTACATTAAAATAAAATCAAGCTGTTCACAGCACAAGTAAAAAGTAATGGGGGAAAAAACATGAATCGATTGAGAGTGCCTTTCCTAAGACTCCGGAAACAAGGCTAAATGAGTAGTGGAAATGGCAAGGTGGGAAGGTTTAAACCTCCCCAGCCGCAGACGATGATTCCAAGTGGTGCACCACATGCTTACACTGAGCATGAAAAATATATGCCAAGTTCTGTAACCTGCTGTATATTTCACACAGCATATAGTTTAACCCCTAGCCACTCTGCTATGCTCTCTCTGATCCAAACATGGAGCTCCAGTGTGAAGCCTGGCTTTCCCGCGGGACTCACTGGATGAGAGTCCCGTAGTTAAATCCACACAGCACAAATTGTGAAAAGTGGAAGAGAATCCCAATTCCTGCCTCGTGAAAGGAGCAGAGGAAGGGATGAGCCGGAGGGGCTATGCAGGCTCTTTTCTGCTCCTGCATATAGTGCTTCTAAAATATGGTTTAGGGATATGTACACATGTGGCTTAAGGCAATTCTTTTGAAGGGCTAATAATAGTAATGAGGCAAGAAGTAATTATTTGTTTTTAGAATAAGTTTAAATGTAATGGATTGGTTTCGTGTTTGTACTACTTAGAATACGATTCCCCTTTTTCTAACCCAGCAAACACTAAACAGCATTAGAGCATTAAAACCATTGCTATCTCTCTCCTGCCAGAAAATGCATCACTGTTAAACAAAGTAGGGCCAAAATTACCCAGGAGAAAGATAAGAGAAAATGTGCATAGTTTGCATAACCTCGGGCCAAACTACCCTGGGGAGGCGATATAGCAAAATTGCATTATAAATATAGACACTAGGAATATTTTAAAATAAATGGACTGTAGACGATATGATTTAAAAATTAAAGGGAACCTATCTTTATGTAATGAAAAACTGATAAATGGCTCCAAGGAGACTTAATCCCACCTACCCATGTTATCATCCTCTGGGTTCTCAGACTGCATCGCTTTGCATTTCACGGGTGACAAAGGCTGGCCTTTCTGCTCCACTCCCTCTGCAAGAATAAAGAATTAATAAATAAAACTGATTTTAAGTGGCATTATTTTCTATTAAAAATGTATGTGCAAAATATTGGGAGAATTAGAAAGTATCTCTGAGTTGCTTTCAGAGAAGCACTGCTGTACTATTAAGCAGGATGAAGATAGATTTCTGCCCATGCACCATTAGCATGGTTGTGAGGATCCTCAGGCTGAGAGCTGAATGTTGTAGTTCAGAAGTGTCTAAACCTCACGTATAAATCATAATAGTCTCATGTTCTTTTAATCCATTTTAAATCTATACCACTTACTAAGTAATGTTTTCTATTGGAAGCTCCTTATAATATCACTTGCATGTCTTTATGTGTGTGTATATATAATTTTAATGCTATTTTTAAAATTCTGACCCTGCCATTCTATGAATCTATGAAAATGCTCAATAAATTAAACAGACAAGGAACAGTGACCTCAGTTTGGCAATTCATTTAAACGATGGAAGTAGAAGTACCAACAGCAATATGAGGGTCTGCAACAGCATCCTATCATCCAATTGTACCAGTTCCTAGCAAATAATGATATCAACTAAATAAATCTTAATTCATTTTACTAGCTGAAAATCAGAAACTAATCTTCTTTAGCAGGTGAAAAGTCCCCTTGAAATCAATAGAAATTTACACAAACTGTGCTGGGCATCATATCAAAATACTTAAGGCATTAAGGAAAAGCACTATATACAGATCTTAATATATCAGGATTGACTGCTTAATCAACCAGAGATTTCCAGCTGATCATTGTGCTACAAAATTATGTCATCTTATTTGTAAGTTCTGAAATGACAATAGCAACCATATGATAATCAAGACTCATGAATTGGAATAATAATAATAATAATGCTGTTTAACATATCGATAACACTGCAGTCTATTAGCCATGTACAGAATATGGAAGCAATACAGTCATAGAGAATTTAATGCAATGCTTCCTTTGAGAAAGCCCCATTTAAACTAATACGACTAACTTCCAAGTACATACGCACAGAATCACACCATGAGGAGGCATGTTGGGGCTGAGAGAGAGAAGGCAACGGTGCGGGACAGAGATGGAGAGGGACGCAAGGCAGGCCGATGAGTGTCAGTACTCTCGTGCCATGTTCTTGTTAGAGCGACAGGGTACAAATAAAGTAAAAAAAATCTTCCTATCGACAAATCCCTGCGAAATATGCATTCTGTTCCAACAGACACTCCCACAAAAAACGCTTTATGTGCTTCAGTCAAGCCTGTCTACGCACCCCTTTCCAGGCACCCCATGAAGACCCTGGTCCTTTCCAAAGTCAGAGGCAAATGCAGAGAGAGGCATATTCACGGATTTCATCTAATGCATTGCCCCTTCCCAAGTATCTGGATTCAGCAGAGAATTGAACAGGTCAGGCCAGCGTTTTAAAGTAGTGGAAGCAAGGGGGACTTACTTCAGCATAATCAGGGTTTGGACCAGGTTGTAGATTGTATCATGACAAGGTGGGAATGGGAAACTCGCACAAGCTGTTCCAAAGGAGGAGCATTCATCCACTCTGCCAAGAAGTGCTGAAATATTTGACAAGAGTGCTGGCAGCACGACTCTTCCTGAGGAAGGCTGGGTCAGTTGCCACTGGTGTTGCCTGTGCTATCAGCACATCAATATCTTTTCCGCAGAAAAGTCATGCTCCTAATTTTAAGGAACTTGGGCAGGTGATTTTTCTCTTTCTTCTCTTGTTTGTACAGAGAAAGCGCCCTTTGCTGAGGAATCCATGTCTTGGGTCCTTGGGGCACAGAAGCAGGGGGAGGGGGCAGAGGGGGCTAGTGTTGCCCCTAAGATTGGCCAGGAGTCAGAGCTCCTTAGAGATGACTGGGTTAAAAAGTCTGCTGCTTAGTTAAGGCTAGCTGATGTTCTGCAAGCATCCTGTAATTCTTATATTATGTACTAGTTCTTAGACTTCTTCCTCCTAATCAACTGTATGTATGCTAGAGAGAAATCAATTGATTGATCAATTGATCAATCAATCAATATCCTGCCTTTTCAACAAATATGGAGTTCAAGTATGTTAGTGATGAAATACATATTAAAAACAAAATCATTCTTAAAACATACAACCCCACATACACACAACAGAGGAAAGGGACAGCATGCAACCAGTTAAAACATCTTGAGACCAGCTTAAATGCCAGCTTATAATTATTATTCACTCAGAAAATGTACACATGTCTGCAAAAAGTAAGCAACATTCAGTGTGCCCTGACTATCAGCACCCCCCCCCACCCTTTAAAAATTCTTCTGAGGTTCTGACTTTCATTGAAAGGATATAAAATATATTTAACCCAAAGAGTCAGAAGGGAATGGCAAAGCAGCAGACGGTTACCCAGATTTATTTGGTGATTCTGAGGAAAGCGTTTTTGATCTTAGCTACAATAGAATGATTCTACCAGATTCCTTCTGAAACATCTGATTCAATTCTTAATATCTGACCAAAATACAAGGAGAGACCATGTAGTTTAATGGTTAGAGTGTTGGACTGGGACTAGGTTTTAGTCCTTCCCCAGCCATGAAGTTCACTGAGTGAATTTGGGCCAGTCACTGACTCTCAGCCTAACATACCTCACAGGATTGTTGAAAGGATAAGAGTGAGACAAGAAGTATTAGATAAACAACCCTGAGTTCTTTGAAAGAGAAAAAAGAAAGGCTCTAAATAGAAGAAATGGTCATAACAACAAAAATGTAGACTTGTCTAGCACAGATCACAGTAAGAAATTCTGATTCGACTAAAAGTTCTTTTGGTGTTAAAGGGTGCAATCCTATGCTGACTGGAGCATGCTAAGAGTTTAGACCCCCCTTTTTTGTCCAAACTTGCTTAGCATCACAGCTTAAATATAGTTTATATATGTTCTTTTTGAGAAATTGCCGAATAAGTTAATAATAATAATGCCAGGAAACTCAAAAGATTGCCTTAAATGCACAATTTACAGTTGGAAAAGGTTACTAGATCCATTAACCTTTTCCTCTGCAAATACAGCATGAAATAACCTGGCTGAACTCATATCAGAGAAACAAAAGAGGAGAGAAGAAGCTGCTTCATTCCACCAGCCTTACTGAAAGACTTCTTAATTTGCTTCTCTTTCCATTCCATCCATTTTCTTCTTGTGTGATGTCTTAGATGGCATGCTTCGGGCCAGGGGGTACCTTGCTTACGGGCTACTCTAGGGTCATTTGGGGTGGGGAACAAGCTAAATGAGTCAGAGGTTAGAATGCCAGACTTAGACTCTGGAAATCCAGGTTCTAGTTCCCATTCAGGCATCAAGTCCACTGGGAGATCTTGGGCCAATTACAGACTCTCAGCCTAGCCTACCTCACAGGGAGAAAATGGGAGGGAAGAGGACTATCTAAGTGATATAAATGTAATGCAATAATAAAAAATGTAAATCAATAAGGGCACAATCCCATGCATTTGTAGACAGAGAAAAGAATGGCGGGTTGGAGAATGCTGGAAGCTGTAGGGCTTTTTTTGTCAGAGCATGTATAAGATTGTGCCCTGCATTCATTTATTTGGTTGGTGGTTCAGCTGTCCAGGTGAATGGCGTTTAACCAGATCTGGAAGGAGCTGCACTCTCATTAAAGAATCAAATATGAAGCTTGAGGGTTTCTGTTGATCCAGTGTTGTCACTAGAGACACAAATACCTTTTGTGGCTCAGAGAACCTTTTATCAGCTTCAGCTAGTATAGAGGCCATACCTCCCTCCTTTCCCTGCTCCGAGCAAACCCCGACAAAGACATTCTAACTAAAAGCTTTATTACATTAATGCAAGCCTGTCAGAATGGCTTAAAAGCACAAATGAAATGTATTGCAGAAGTCAATAAAAAAGAAACAAGCATGGTTAGAAAACTAGCCATTAAAGAAAGGTACCCTATTACTAAGAGGCTGATCGAAACGGAAAACTTCTCCTCCCTTCCAAACTCAAATGATCAACACCTCACCTTTAAGGCGAATCCGTTTCCTTTCACAGCTAATTGCCTGGAGCGTCTCAGTTCTCAACTGGTCTGCCTTCATTTTAGCTGACCAGACCCTGGGATTGGTGCTGCCTGATCTGTCCTTCTCTCATTAGCATCCTAGCCTTCCCGCAGTATCCAAAGCTGACTGACCCCAACTACTGCCTGGCTCATCTCTTAGTCCACTGGCCTTGCCATCTCCATTGCAGATTCCAGCTGCTCCCCCTTGGCTGACTCAGAATCTGTCTTCACATTCAAGGCCCCTTTGGAGGAGCAGTGAGCCTCGCCCTACGGCTGGGGCCGGCTGACCCTGTTGGGCAGTGTCAGTCTCCCTTTGGTGAGCTATGTCTGGGTCATTTCCCAGTTGGGCTGCCTCTGTGTTTCATGGCAGAATTTCCTTGAAGACAGTCTGGACATTTCAGTGAGCGTAATATGTGTCACTTGCTGAAACCGTGCGCTATGACAGATCACACTGTTATTGTATAATCTCGATTAACTCCCAACATGTAGGCCAGCTTTAAGGTTCTGCTGCTAATTTACAAAGCCCTTTGCAGCCTGGGATCACCATATTTCAAGGGCTGCCTCTTCCCACCTCTTCCATCCATGCCCTGAGATTGCATCTCTTCCATCCATGCCTTCCACACATTGAGATGCAGAGGGTGGTGACTGGAGAGGGGTCCTTTTCTGCAGCATCCACCAAACTGCAGAATGCCTTCCTTAGAAAGGTCTGCCTCTGCTGAATTTGTTTCCAGCACCAGGCAACAACCTTGTCATTCTCCCAGGGTCATTAGCTTTATTTCTAACATTCCTATTGCTTCATTATAAAATGATTGTTTATTACCTGCTCAGTTATTTAGCTGCATTAAATACTGGACTTTTGACTCTGCCTAGAAGAGAATACCACTGAGCATGTATTGTTTCTTTATATGTTTTTATTCACTGTTTAGTTTTTATTGTATATGCTGCACTGAGAGTGTTAGCTCTTTGATAATAATTAGTGTCA